CATCCATTATTTAACCATTAAGATCAAGATGACCTAGTTTCATAACCCAGATCACAATAACATTGCGAAAAAATGCAATATACTTTCTATATGCTATTATTTTTCTTATTCTTGTGTTTCTTTCAGAGAATTCACTCCGTAATGTTGTTCAGTACTTTTAAGTTATTGTGTAAGGGATGTAAACTTTAACATTTTATTTCGCTTCCGCACTTGAATTATTATATATTTCCTTTTGGATTTACGGGGTCGTTACATTTTTTCTTTTTCCTCTTTCCTTCTCAGTCCGACTCCCCCCTACCATAGAGGCCAATGATAAACAATAACTCCCCCCCCGAACACAGCTTACAATTTTCATCGGACTATGCTATCCAAAGAGCAATTTTTCTCAAAATCTCAAAAAGTGCTGAGTTGGAATCCCATTCTAACTAAGGATTCTTGTGGTTCCGGAGGATTCAGCTACAGGAGACTAGGAACGGAGAGCTTTCCCCCTTTTTTCAACCCGACTCTTTCGAATGCTGGTTTTAAGAATGAGTGATTGCCCTTCTTCGACCCTTACTGCCCAACCTGAGAGCGGACAGTTAAGACATTCCACTTATTGAACAGGGTTCTATGGTTGGTCTGTAACCCCCGCCCTTTTATACTCAGTCTATCCTCAAATCTAAGCCGTTGAATCCCCATTTATTCTCAAACGTCCATCCTCTCTCCGATATCTAAGTTATTACAAATTCTATACTAACATAACCTTAAATTTTCTAAATCATTTAATTAAAAAAATATATAGATCTTTGATTATGATTTGCAATTGTAATCATATATAAATTTAATAAAGACATTAAATATTTAATTAATGAGAATTATAAATTTGTAATTTAACTTTATATAAGAAACATGTTACTCATTACAATTAATAACACAAATATAAACACGTGTTGAAAGAATATTTAATTAATTGTGCATTTATTTTTTTTTCTCCGTGAATCAATAAAAATATCTAATTCATTATTTTTTCTAACTAAATGAAAAATATTTTTTAAGTAGAGGCCAAGATTTTTTTTTATGAGATATAAGTTATATATATATATATATATATTTAAATAATAATAAAAGGTAATTTAGATGAACACAAATGTTTTTTAAATAAAAAATAAAAGTAAATTATTAACATATAATTTAATTTTAATTAAATTATTAAGAAGGAAAGTTCAATGCTTCATCCACAAACCAGGAGAAATGAGTACGAGACCAGGCAAAGATCCGAGAAGACGATCCCGCTCCATTTCTAACTCTCCTCCTCGGAATCCACCCATCATTGATTCCGGCTCCAGTGCCACCCAATCAGGGTCGCGTAAAAACAGACTAACCCCATCAGCTTCTCTCACAGAGTGGGAGCTGGTGACACAAGAAGAGAGTAGCAGCGCCAGTTTATTTAGTGAACCACGGATTTCGAAAGATTACTCAGTTTTGAGCTCAAACCCTAGGAGCTTTCCGTACAGTGTGAAGCAACAATGCTGGGAAAAAGCAGAGAAAGTCAGGGGGCGCGACCCAGATAGGTGGCGCAGGGACGCGCTTGGCAACATTGTGTTCCGGAAGCTTGTCGGCTGTCCCGGCTGCTTATGCCATGATTATGATCACATTGTTCCTTTCTCCAAGTATTATTATTATCGTACTGATGTCTTCAATGGTTTTATGTGGGTTTTTTGGATGTTGATGCTTTCTGGGTTTTGGGGGCGGGGCGTTGAGTTTGGGGAGGTGGAATAGTAAATTATATTGGATTTAGTTAATCTTTCACAACATCATTTATGTAGGATTATGATGAGAAGGTTGGCTAGGAAGTTGTATTTGATTTGGCAATAAGATTTTGTGCTACTATATTCCAAGTTTGATTGTACGGTGTTCCATATAATAAAAATAAGAACGCCCTAAAAATGGATAGGGTTAGAATGACAAGAATCTTCTGATATAATTTTCAATTGAAGTTAGGGCAGATTTTTATTCTTTATCAAAGAGAATAGCAATGCTGGAGTTCTTGGAATTTAAGGTAGGAGTGGAATTGGTTCAAGGTGAGAATCACCAGACACACGCTTGTGTTACAAAAATGCCAAAGAGATAATTCATTGGACAATCTGAACTTGTGTTCGAATCTGGGTTAGTAACTATATGGTTCTTGGAATTGTATTATTAAAAGTATACTTTGAGGGGATGGATTATGTTAGAATTTCTGTACTGATGTATTCACTGAATTCTAAATAAGGCGAACACATGCGACACAGTAAATAAATTGGGATAATATAGAATGATTCAGGCTGTTTGCCTCAAATATTGACGTGGTCCATTGTGGTGAATATTTTAGCAGCATTAATCCCTAAAATGTCAACGATGAGCAACCAGGTAATTGTTAATCGCAACTTGCTGGTAGGAGGAAGTGTTTGCATCATGCAAGATAGTTGTGAAATAATTTTTGTAGATGAGGAAGCTTTAAGCACGTGTACCCAAACCCAAATGCTCTGAAGCCAAACACGGATTAATGAGCTTCCGCTTAGAGGATGAAAAAATCGTATACAGTTTGTCTATGAGAATGATAGGGTATTTCCAATATATATGTGTGTATATATATATTATTTCTCTCTTTGGGTAGAAGAAGAAGAGATATATAAAAGAGAAAACATAATAATACAAAAGAAGGATTAAGTATTCCCCCGAAACCAAAGAAAAGAAAAGAAAGTAAGAGGCCGAAAAAAATAAAAACTGTTGTTCCTCCTAAAAATAGGCAGTCAACCTCTATACAACACAGACAAGGAAATATCTTAAAATGCCAATGAGCTTTAGCCCAAAGGGATTCCAAGAAAGATAATTTACCTTCAAAGCATGCAAGAAGGAGAAATCTGGTCTTTGAAACATCTAGTAGCAAAATCATCCATTGCTTAGCAGAAAAAGCCCCTTGCCAAAGAGCTTTATTCTTTTCCTTCATACTCAGGATTTGATGAACAAAAGAAAGAAAGCCATCAATTCTATTGGGAGAAATCTGAGAAAGACGAGAAGTATCAAAAATTCAGTTCTAAACTCTTTAAAAGACGTTGCAATTCAAGAAGAGATGGCTATAAGTTTCCACAGCTTTAAACCATAAACCCTGGTGTCAAAGCTTGATTTCGTCTGTGAGCTTGAAGCATATAATTAATGTTTTTTTTTTTGAGAAAAAAAGAACGATAGAATTAAGAAAAGGAACCAAGGGGCTGCCCACCCTATACAAGATATTTATAATTCAATTAGTGTATCTATAGGAGCATATAATTAATGTTTAGTCTACCAAAGTCACTTTATGAACAAAAAATTTAGTCTTAAAAGAAATAGGAACCTTCAAAAAGCACTTATTGACACCATTATTATGAGAAGTAGGGTTACCAATTATCAAACCAAGGTGAAACTTGCAAAACAACAAACTCGAGGATTCCAAACACTAGGCCATGCGATTAGGATTATTGGAGAAAATACATAATCAAAAAGTCGACTTAAAGAAATCACAAGTTGATCATCGTTGAGGTCGTTGTTGGAAGCCATTCTATCAAGAATATAAATCTCTTAAAGAATATCCGATGGAGATCAAGGTAGCACAAATCATAATGAGCCACATGAGAGCTCATGGCCACATGGGAGCTCACGGCCACATTGGAAATCATGGCTAAATGAGCTTAGGAGATCATGGCCATATGAGAGGAAATCAAGAAACAACTCAAACCCATCAAGACACAACTCATGAGGAAGCCCGTCCACATGGAGATGAGTATAGGATGGACTCAACTCAAGATGCAATAGGATTATATGGATTGAATATCATTACGCCAAGTGGACCAATCATAAGATCATGAGTCAAGAAACTCAAGCAAGTCTTTTAAGCTTATGTTCAAGAATGGATCAATGAAGAAGGAAGGCTTGGGCCAGATTTGGAGATCCATAAAAGATGGAGGCCGAATCCATTAGGCCTCTGGTAGAGGCGGGCAATAACTCTTATACAACTCATAACTGATCAGTAAGAGTGTAAAGGTCCGGAATTTAAGGAAAACGAATTCATACTTTAGATGCGGAAGCAAACAATAATGTTAGATTTTACATTTTTTGCACAGTAAATTAAATATCCAATAGGATTACGAGAATGTCCTTTCTATAATTGTTCGTAAAAAGAAACGAGTAAATGATTAAAAATAAGTAAATAAATGTCATTGGGGGTTAACCTCCACTATCTCTTGATGGGGTCCAGGAGGTAATCTAGTCACAACTTTCCTGCTTATCAGGATTTGGATCCTGGTCTTCTTGATCTGAAATGGTTAATAGAAGAGTGAGATACACTAGCTCAGTAAGAATATCACACTAATCACTTATACGTAAACTGAAGGTTGGTAAAAATTATAAAACAACTAATGAAGCCATTTGTTTTCTTAAATAAATTAATTTAACATAAAACCGTTGTATTCCATATTTACTGTTACTTACTGTTACGAGTTTACAAAACCAATCTATAAAAAAAATACTTAAATAACATTATGATTTCATATATAAGTGACTGAGAACAACAACGCTCTTTTTTACTTGTTTACTAGTACCGCTGAGGATCCATAGAGATGTTCCCCCTACGCGTGAACCCAATATCCAAATTTGTTAATCAACCGGCCGTCTCCATACCCCGTCTGGTAATGAGCGCCAAATATACCATCGTCTCGATACCTAGTCTGCTATGAAGGTGAACCATATTTCTTAAACCCTTCCGGTATAGGACGTCCCAGTCCCGTCCGACTGAGATTATGTCCACGGTAGGGTTTTCCCTATATACTGGGTTCGTCGACCTTTTTCCAGAATATCCAGTAAGCCTTTCATATATAGATCCCTATCAACAAAACAACTACCAATCGTATACTAATATTTCATTTCATATTCACAGATCAATTAAATGACATTTAAGCAAACAATACAATTTCATACATTAACAATTAAGAAACATAATTAGGACATTTATTTTAAATCAATCAATCAGAAAAAAATAACGATTAGACAATCAATAAACGAGAAAATAATTAAAAGTAATAATTTGAAGCACATGGCAGAACAATAAGCAATTTACTCGGTATAAGAAAAATAAATAACACAGACAAGTTAGGACAATCGTACACTGACCAGTCCCGACTCCATTAATGACCTGTAATTATTATTAGGGTTTTTTTTTAATTTTCACAAAATACAATATTATCGATTATTAAGTCTCAATTTACCGTAGCAGGGAATAGGGTGAGAGATTATTATCCGGATCAGTGTTCAAAACGCTATGTTACCTACTGGGCCTCCTGACGGTCCCTGGATTTCTTGAATTTTTCTTGAGAAAATTAAAATACCCGTTACGTACCCAAAAATACCTCAAAAAGCTAAAATCGGTGTTGAAAAATATTTTTAATAAATTTTAAGATTTCGGCACGGCGGCACCACTGTGCTTCGGCGTCGGCTCCGTCGCTTACGGCGGCAGTTTGCCTTGCCCTGGCCGGTTTCGGCCGTTTTAATATGGTTTTGCCCAGTTTTACACGTATCTCTTCGAAAAAACACGTTAGGGAACTTCGGTTAGCTAAAAAATTTGAAAAATCGAAACTTACCGGCAGGGGGTCTCCGGGTGCGGCAGCTCCGCGGTCCTCCTTTGCGGCTGGGGGTTCATTTTCAGCTAATTTGCACTAAAAAAAGACATTGAACACAATGGTCAAAGAATTGCATGAAACAGAAAATGGGAAGAGGGTCATTGGAGTGAGTTTTGGGTTTTGGCTGTAGCGGCTCGGCCTAACTTTGCCCGCGGTCTCCCGCTCACCGTCGATTCTTGTCTCCGATATGGTTACAGGGAGGCTCAGGATTAAATTCCGAGTGGGAAAAAGGGAAAAAGTAACTGTTTTGGCGTCGGCAGTGGCTTCGATGCAACGACGGTGGTCGGCCTCCTTCTCCAGCGTTTGGTTCTTTCTCCGGCTGCCATTTTTCTTCTTCTCCAGTCACCCCTCTGTCGGCTAGGGTTTTGGTTTCCTGCGAATAAGAGTTTAAATACTCATCTCCTCTTCGATCCAAGCCGTTCATTTGAGTCGACGTGGAAAAAGGAGGACCGTCTGATGATTTTCCGTTTAGGTTGATTGCGTGGACGAATCTGGACCGTCCATTGCGATCAGTATCGTCTGTCTGATCGAGTTTAAAGAGGGAATGCATTTGGGCCGTTCATGCGCTCGGGATGTAGCCTGTACCGTCGGATTGCCAGGATCGTGGATCGCTTGTGTGGCGTCTCGCGTGGTGCCGATGTTAGCGTGCCTGCCACGCGACGTGCTCTGCTTCGTTGAGGCTGCTGACTGGGCTGTCCCATGTGGCCAAATTTTTTTTTTTTTGCGATTTTACCTCTTATTTTCAAGTTTTCTTTCAAAAACACCACTTTATTAAAAACTTTGCCCATTCTTCTTAAAATTGTTTTCAATTTCGTTCATAATTAATTTTTTCTCAGCAATTTAATAAAACTTTAATTAAAATAAATTTTTTTAATTATTTATATATTTTGTAAATGTAAAAAAAATTATCCTAGACCAATTTTTGGGACTGAGTATTACAACTCTCCCCTCTTAAGAAAAAATTTTGTCTCTTAAATTTGT